GTTTTCTTGTGCCCAATAATGCATAATTTCATTTGATAAACACGTTTAGATTGAATGGTAATTTATAATCAGTCACAAGAACGTCGAATCTGAATCACTTGAAAAAAACACGGGGGTACTTAACTTTTTTCCAGGTATATATAAGGGTTTTAACACTATTTTAATCAGCATCATTCATTAACTAATTAGAATGAAAATGATCTTTAACTATTAAAATATTAAATCACTTGATAATACTGTGCATGTTACTTGGTTGAATTGTGCATAACTCAACCATGAAACTTGCACAGTATTATCAAGTAATTTTGATAGTTACAGATCATTTTCATTCTAAGTAATGTATGTATCCTAAACTGGGTAAACATTTATTATTTAATAATTGTTATTTGAAATTAATATCTATCAATAGGAAAATAAGATATCAGGTAATGTAATTATAATACAACTTTAAACTAGCCATTATAGAAACTTCAAAAAATTAAGTCTTTGATGTATTTACTTTGTTTGAAAGTCATCATTTGAGAGAGAATAAAAAAATTCCTCAAGAATATTATGCTCTTCTATCAAATGATCAATCTTTTCTTGAAGTGACTCAACAATGTCAGGAACTTTTTTCATCCAGTCTCTCTGATCAACAACATCTTCAATGCAGCCAGGCTTAGCAACCAATTTTCCAAACAGCAAACGAAATTCACCAGAGACCTACCAAAACAAATGCAACTATAAAACTTTTTTTTTAAACCAGCATAACTTTTTCAATATATTAAGATATATAATAAAATAAAATACAAAACGTTATATAACATACCCCATCAGACTGAACATGAAGACTTTTAGCTAGATAATCTAGCAGCGCTCCAACAATGGACCTGCATTTTTTGGACAAAGTTAGTCTTACAGCATCAACATTTATCCAAAAAGGACCAACAGTAATTCCTGAGGGAAAGTTTCTTTCTACTTCTTCTTTCTTGCTTAGATAAAACTGAACATCTTCCTTCACTTTCAGTGCTTTCTGCTCCTTTAGCTCATAGTCTCTGAAAAAACATTTATATAAAAACGTTTTAGTCCTATGTTATAAATAGCATCAATTACAATCTTATTTTCTTAAATACTTTCTTCCACTGTATTTACATATAGGCCTATAGTTTTACCTCATATGAACAACTAGTATTTTATCCATTGACATTAGTGTAATATCGTTTTTCCTATTGACACATAACAATAAAATATTGTATTACAATATGCACTTCTATTTATCATAGGTGTAAGCCAGATTGATGCTAATGACAGCAGTACATAAATTAATTACCAACAAATGAATTAAACAGTTGATTTTCTTTTTTTTTGCAGGAAATTTAAGATGGAAAGAGATTGTAGTTTCTGAACAGCTTTTGCCACTTTGAAGTCAACCTGCCACCAGTCTACTTTTACTCCCAGATGCCATGTGAACAATTCTGAAGTAATATAAATAAGATAAGAATGAGACTGAAAGACATCTTGACAAAGCTATGGTCAAGTTACACACAACTTACATGAACAGCTTTGTAACCTTATGCCCAAATATACTCAGAATAATATTTAACCAATGCATTTTTATGTCCTGAAACCAAATCTGAAAACTTTTGTTTCCCATATGGTGCTTTGCAGAAAAATCATACCATAAAGTTGGGAACTTTGATCATTAAGTATATATATTATACGAACATTCTCACCCTTCTTCCAAGTAATCCAGAGGTGAAAACTGACATGTTTTGTTGAAGGTTTGAATTCAAACACTGGCAAATTACATTTCCAGAGATTCTTTTGATAAAAACTTGTAAAAAATTATTGACTATGTCAGAAAATATATATTTAAAAAGAATTTTTTCTGACATATTCAACAAGTTTATATAAATTTTTATAAAACAAATTATGAAAAAGTTGTTCAATGGAAGTTGGAATCAAACCTTCAATAAAACGTGCTAACTTTTACTACTAGACTATATAGGCTTACTTGAAAGAATGCCAAGGAAGGTGGTGATTTTCCTATATATATATATATATGTGTGTGTGCTTAATGGTTAAAGTTCCTGACTTTAGGGTCCGATTTCTCTGCAAAAACAACATATGGGGAAAATGGATTTTGAATTCCATTTCAGGACATAAAAATTCACAAGTAAAATATTCTTCTGGGCATAGGCCTTACGATTGTCAAGATATCTGTGTTAGTTTCACCGAAATTAGGAAAAAAAGTTTTATATAAACAATAAAAAGCTTTTCTATTACCTTCATAATTCTCTCAAATTCTCTCTTAAATAAATGGATTGATGTAATTGGAAACCTTTTAATGCACACACAATATTCACTTGCAACTCTTGAACTGTTTTTCACAAATCCATTGAAACAAAATATTAATCTCACATTGGTGAGCATATGGCTAGAATATTCAGTAACGCTATAGATGCTGTTGGATCAGAGAAGGTCCATGCTTTGATCATGGATTGTGCAAGTAATATGAAAGTTACAATGGCATTACGCATGATGAGAACTTTATCATCTTTAACTGTCTAGATCATGGCATGAATCTGTTTACAAGAAAATTTGCAAACTTACAGAAACAATCAAGCAGATTACTAAGTTCTACCATAAGAAACACATCTCACAACAAATACTCAATTATATTTAAACTCATAGAGGAGAGAATGTTATTCTTTACCTCAAGAACTCTCATTGCGGATGTGTTACAAAATGCATTGAAAATGTAAAGTAATAAAACCAAGAAGCATTGGAAAATAGCCATGGTAGACCCAGTAGTCATTTTCATATTCACCCAAATCCATAAAAACACTTTGACAATGATGTGTTCTGGGTTGAATGTGGGTATAGTACTGTAGCTGTTACAATCAATCTCATATGCTATGACAAAACTCAAAGATGATAAGAAAATATTCACACTGAAGTAATAAATACGATCATTAAGGTAGCTGAACATACCTACAATTTGGATCCACTAGTTGTTTCTTGTGTTTTGATTGAATACAAGGATGAACCCACTAACTGATTCATTAAACATAATAATGAGACAGGACATAAAGAGAAATAAAAAAATGAGCAACTTTTATTATCTCAATAAAACACAAACACAGTGTGTGTACTTGCTGTTACTTATATGAGACAATCACTTTTACTGCTCAAGTTGAATCCATATACCAGACCATCCAAGTTCAAAATTTTTTGGAACAAAGCACTACTAAAGTGATTGGTCACTCATTGAAACATAGATGAGACCATCACCTCTAGACATCACATGAATTTCCAATGAAGGATACTGCTGTCAATAATTTTGCACAACATGCAGTACTGAAGCAACACTCCCAATGGCAGAAAAAGCATTATCCACTTGAGAACAAGGGAACCCAGAATGATTATTGCTACCACATCACTGGCCATTCTCATTAAAACATAGGTGAGGCTATCACCTTTAAATATCACCTGAATGGCCAGTGAAGGACACTGTTGTTAACAACCTTGCACAACATAGAGTATTGTAGAAATATTCCTACCACCTGGGAAGAATAGGCATTATTTACTCAAGAATAAATAGAACGAAATTAACTTAATGTCTTTATTGACCATATGTTATGTGAAACCTGTACAATAAAAAGCAAAGGAAAAAATTCCTAACAAATAGATTAAATTAGAAGAAGATACAAATGCATTATATAAACATACACCAAACTAGCAATACAACATTGCCTGTTAAATATTGTAGCAATCAGAAATCTGCTATATTTTACCCTTTCCTAACTTACAAATGAGTAGATCTTTATTTATGTATGTTCATGTAAATTGTTCAAAATTTAATTTTCATGCAGGTAACCTGCATTTTATTAGCATTCTTTTGAACAGGACATAAGTAGTTGTAAATTAACTTTGCCTTGGGCTAGGTTAAATACTACACTGACAATTATAGAAAACTCATACATGCTTAACCATGCTTTTATATAATTGTTCCCATGGGGTGTACCCAAGCAGATGGATGGTAATCTGTAGAAGCTGAGGTTATAATTCAACATTTGAATACATATTATATAATGGAAATTACTACTGTTGAAAGTAATCTAAAATTAGGGGGTTCCACAATTAACATGGTCACAAGATTATTAAAATTGTTCATTTAAAAAGGTGGAATAGGGTTCTTCAAAAATACAGAAAAATAAGATCTTAAAGTGAAGATGCAGCTGCAAAAAAAGTAAACAAACAAGCTTAAAGTTTGAGACATAGTGTTGACATTATTTCCTCATGCTACAAGTCCCTATTTTGACTCACTTAAATATAACAGGACATAAATCTGTATAATAGCAATACTGTCCTATTGAAACAGTTTAGTTTAAGAAAATACATAGTTGGTGTACGATGCTCTCTCTGGAAACAATGACAACCTTTGGATTGGCTTCATGCAGATTGGATGGCTATTGTCCCTGATATCATTGCCACAAGCTTATCATTGATAGTAGTACTGCACGTATGATCACTATGATATGGTAACATGTTATGTACATGTTTGTAAAATATATACAGTTACTATATTTATACCCTGTAACTATATAGGAATTCAGTAAATATTGGATTGGAGGGACTACTGAACTTTACTGAAATGATGCATGGACTGGATTTTGTAACCACATTAGTTTTATACATGCACACACATGCAATTTGTGGGCTAGTATATATATATACATATGCAAGCTTTATATTTTTTTTGAAGTTGCAAAGCCATATATATATAGATAGTCATATGAAATTTCCAAGTTGTATAGATGCTTGCATAAATATTCCACACAAATATAAGGCAATGGGCCATAATACAATAGGATATGTATACAAACAAGCAGTTTAAATATTTCATATAGTTATATTTACCCACTTCCTCCTCTCTGCTGGCCATAGTAAGGCAGTCACGGTTTTGCTGCAGCTGGCAAGATTTTCTCTTAGAGCAGCATTCTGCACACTCTATAGGATTGAAAATGTGTTAATTAACAATTATGAATTGATTATATTAATATAACTTCCCCCTCCATTTCTAATGGAAATTGGATTATGACACTTCTATGACCCTCTTCTACTGTGATGACCCTAAACTCTGGTGGGCCATCACTGCTGCATACATTATCTGACAGTAAATATTTTCTAAATAAAATATATAGCTACAACACTTCTGCCTAGAATCGCCATCATTTTTTCTATCACCTGCTTGCATGATTCTTGCCACTCCTTAAAGTCAGCTTCAAGGACAGCTACTCTATTTGCAGTATTTATAAAATTTGCAATCACACATTGTTGGCTCTAATTCAATACTTACCATCAGCCTTCAACGTGATCGCCAGTCCGATGCTATAAATTGAGCTAGGTGCTATCTTTTAATCTACAGTTTGAAGATTTCTGTTGTGGAAGACAGCCTAGACATTTGTATAACATCTTAGATGTTTGCATAATGTTTTAGACATTTGTGTAACATGGCCAAAATCAGTCATGCAGTGGTAAAAAAACTGCAGTCCTCTCAGTAGCACTATACATAAACAAATGGTACACAACATCAGTACAATTGCAACAATAAGTTACTAATCACTATGGTACATGTGTAATGCCTGCTATATAAACATTAAATTACATCCACAGCCTGCATGAAGCTATTTATGCATGCACGTAGTATATTATGAGGTTCCATATAAACCAGAGACAACAATGATGAATTTAGTAATATTGCCCAGATTTTATTATAATACTCACAGCCTATTTTGCTGTAGGCTGGTGAAACAATATTAAATAATAATAAAGAAGAAGAAACGGTAACTCCTATCATGAACCACTACCATGTTCCACAATGTAAGTACAATTCTTCTATCTTTCATGTAGTAAAGTAGCTGATTCTCTACTTTTCCAGCTCCAGCAAATAATCAGTGAAATGGAAGCTGGCCAGTGTTAATAAGACCCCAGTATTTTCAGTGTCTGTGTATAACAGTTAAATATTATTGTTGTTTCTAGTTTACACAAGTTTTTGAACCTTTATCTTTTTGGTGTCTGTGTTTGATTCATTCCTTACAAACTATTTACTGAAACTGAATCTGAATGCCATGGTATTTAAAAAGAAATCCAAACCTGAAAAGAAAACTTTGAGGAAATATTTTTGCAAGAATAGTGTTCCAGAAAAATTAACATTTCCAAATAATCACCAATAAAATTTATCAATACTAACTTGATAAAACTGTTAATGTCCAGTACAGCTAGGGAAAGATATTCTTCATATTTCTTGGCATATTCTCGCAAGAGTAATTCTACTTTTTGTAAAGCATTTTGTATTTCTGAACGACATTGTTCCACTTTAAGTTCATGTTGTCCTACCGTTTCCACATACAAAGTTTCGGGAAAAAAGAGGTCTTCCATCACAAACTAATTGACAGATATAAATATATTTCAAATCATCATTTTATAAATTATTTTCAACAGTTTTATAATACACTAATAAGGCACTATTTATGATACAAAACAGAATCAAATCATTAAAATGAAATAGAATACTATACATAAAATATTACCTCAATAGTTCTCCTAGATAAATATCTCCCATGCAAGAGCAATGTTATACATAAAAAGAAATATTCATAGCAATATTTTTCTTGAAAATGATATATAACCTTTTAAAGTACATTACTTATTAGATAGTATTAGATGTTGATAAATATAAAAGTTAACAAGATCGAGCCCAGCCAAGAGTTAATCAACCATTCACATATCCTGATTCTGCAATGCAACCATACTGGTACCAAATGATTTGGCAGAGCTATCCCAGTCCTTCCATGCTTTTCATATCACAGGCCATGATGATGATGCCTTAGCCTGGATATCATTCTGGGAGAGAGAAACATAGTATTTGCATTACTTATAGAATGTTGAGTTAGTTCCAAGTCAACTGCATGCACCTTTTTGAGCAGAAATGTATGCAAGGCTATCAGTTTTGACTGATAGCTCAGCAGGTAGGAGAGCTGAGAGAAAGTGATAAATATGGCCACCACAGCTCTAAAAATGTAATCAAACCCAAGTCAATGAGTGCAATCAGTGGCTTACAGTGAAATATTTGGTGGTTAGCCTACTCTCTCAGGACTTGGTTACTTGCTGACCACATAGCCAATTGGGTCAAACAAAATCAACATCACATCGATACAGGTGAAATATTTCTGATCAAGCAATTTCCATGTTAGCTTCCTTAAAGCACTAGGGATTTAGCCACCACTGAGACACAGTGGATGTTAAAGGAAGGGATCATACAGCCTTTAGGGAGTACTTGGTCATCTCCAGTTGCCATTACCAGAAACAAGGTGGGTACACCCAGAGGTGCTGTGTTGAGTTTAGATGAGTGAACATGGTAACTCATGATGATGCCTTTCCACTAGTGTGAACAGATGAATGTCTGGATGTAGTTTAAGGAGCCCACTGGTTCAACACTTTAGACCTAATAATCAAATACTTGCATGTCAAAATGAATGAAGAGAGAAGATCTAAGACTACTTTCTGCATAAGACATGGCTTGTATCAGTTTCATGTCATACCATTTGGCCTGTGTAATGGAGCTTATGCTGAAGGGTCTACATATTGATGTCATTTTAGTGTTTGGTTGCATATTTGAGTCTGTGGCCAAAAACCTGAAAGTGGTATTCGAGCAGATAAAAAAAAAGTAAGCTTGAAGTTGTTTCTTTGTTATGGACTATCTGTGCTGTGCTACCACAAGTATCAAAACCTAGTTTATAGCAGTGTGAGCCCTCAGACTTACCACTGAACCGGGGAAGTGCATAGAATTGAAAACTGAAACAAGAAAAATGTGCATTCATGCACGTAGAATTGGAAGTTCTTGGTCACATCATAGGTAGTGATGGAATCTCAATGGATCCAACAGACAATGAAAGATTGGTTCCAAATTGTGATCCACCACCAACCAGTCAGAAGTCTGAAGTTTCTTTGATTTTACATAATACTACTAAAAGTTTGTAGCCAATGTCTCCAAGATCACTATATAGAGTGAGGAATGTGAGCAAGAATTTCAGTCCCTAAAGCATACTTGTGACAAGCCCTAGTGACAGAACTGTCTCATTAGGGGAGGTCTTATTACAATTAGAAAAATCACCAAATGTGTGATCATTTCTGGAGCTAGAGTCATTTTGAGAGGCTGCTAGACACAAAGAAAGGAAAAATAACATCCACCAACACTGTGACAAATAATTCAATAGCCCCCATTACCAAGAAAGGAACGTCATCATGAAGCAGAAGATTCCTATATACAAATAAGATAAAAAAATATCTATACATATTAACATTTAATAAATGAAAGAACTAATTATGACATAGTTAAAGTTTATTTTAGAGAAACATAATGTTGTAGCCAGTACCAGTCCAAAATATGCTAGTGGGAAAAAAAGTAACTAGCAACAATTTGCAATCATTATCAGAAGTTAAGTTGTAAGCCTGCAGTCTTCAATAAAATCAAGTTGATCCCAATGTAGACAAGTTGGTGTGTGTGTGTGTGTTTACTTTATACATGAGAAAACACTTGTATTTACAATTTTACAACTAATGAAGAAAGCTAATAATAAACAAATCTTCTAGAAATAATGTATATGTGATGGAATAACTGGAAATAATTTCAATAACATTTCTTCTTTCATTAACATGAAATCCATTATTGTATATTTCTAAGGCATTTTTATGGAATATCATGCCCTTTACTTAACAAACACAAGTAATATTTTTTTCAATAGCCATTTAAAATGTTTATTATAAAGCATCATAAATTTTTTTACAGTAATCTGATTTTATACTTTTTTAGAGCAAAGCCACATTAGGCTATCTGCTGTGTCCACCACAGGGAATCAAACTCCAGGTTCTAGTGTTGTAAGTCTGTAAATTTACCAATGCCCTACCAGAGGACATTAATTTGAAATAAAATGTAATTTATAGAACTGAACTATAATTATTCACCACGTTATCAAATTACTTGTACATTATACAAGATTGTCTTACAAGAAAACTATTTCTAAACAAAAATAGATTTACAGTTAGTAAATATATAAAGTATAAGATAATGATAAGTTTTTCTTGAATATACATGTATATGAGCTTAAGTGATGATAATGAAGAAACCAAAGCAAAAATTACCAATGCAACACCTAAAGTATTAAATAGGCTATGATTCAACTTTTATATTACTACATGAGATTTGGCTATACAAATTATTAAGCTCCTGTATAGTTCTCACATGTAGTTTTTTCACTTCTAATATCATATTAATGTGTGTTATTAAATGCAAAAAGCACCTATTTTTATCCAAATGCAATAAAATTTACAACAAATATTGAAAACTGTTTGAGTTTCTCATTTTGTTGACTATATTTTAAATTTTGATCAATAAAATTAAGTTGAAGTTAAGAACTTCACTAATGTAATTTTTGGTGGGAAGGGGTTGTTGAAATTTTTGTTTACAAAAAACATTCATTCTCATGCTAAAGTTTCAATCACTACAAATTAAGAACTAATAGACAGCAAGATATACTACTTGAATTTAAACTAAATATTCTTTGAAAGATTTCATAAACTTACTGGCTCAAGTTGAGGAACTTTCTCAGTAGCAGAAATTCCTTGGTTAAACAAATGTAATAAACATTTTACAACATCCTGGAGCTTAACTGAATAGTAACACCCCTGAGCATCCAAGACAAGGTCAATAATGAACAAAGCAGAGTTTGATGGGCTACAAATGAAAACAAAGCAATGTATATAAAATAGTCTTAAAAACAGTGTCAGTCATCTGATAATTGTCCATGAAAAATTTAGGTAAAGTACAATTAAGGAGCTATTGGTACTTTTGCAAGTTAAAAATAAATAACTTCATGGATATATTCAAAGTAATTATACATAAGTGGCATAATCTCTCTTGATAAATTTTGAATCAAACTCAAATATCATGGGCAAAATTATAACTTATTTTCATTCCAAAAGTGTTTTCCATTCTCTATAGAGATTTCTTCAGTAAGGAGGTAAAAAATACATTTTTATCATTTTACAATAGCCACCATAGACTACTGGAATACCGTAAAACCTAATAAGGTAGCCTATCTAATGATTTTGAGTGCACATCAAAATAAACTGAATGCATACAAAACGTAATGTGTAGGAAATTAATTGCACTTTACAAAAACCATTTTCAAGTGCTAATATGGTAGCATGTCACTGCAGGTGTGAGCTGGGATACCTGAAGCAATATGTTTAGCACTACATATTTGTATCAGGTGAATCTCTAACCACATGACTTATGGCTGGAAGAATATATGTTACAAACCTTCCTGCAAAAGAATAATTGTAGAGCGAAATTATTTGACAATGTTGATCAAAGGACACTTTCAGGCAGCATTAGTCTACAAAACCATATCAATGTCAATCAGAAGCAATGCACTCATCTGCAAAATAAAGGCTATGACTACAAAATGAAACCTTCTGAATGCAAAAATCCATTGCAATGAAGCTTATGATATCTGCAGGTACCATTAACAAGATAATCAACAATCCTTTAGTGGTGACAGTAGATATAAATCAAAAGTATACACAACTTTCAACCACACTTAAAAAATCAATAAATATTTTCATGATAAAGACAGCAAAAGAAACTGGAATCAGGGAAATTCCATTTGATCACATACACACATATGTTAAGTCCCATTACACAGCTCCAATGGACGTTTTGTGCTTTTGATCTATAAAATGTTTGTCTTCACATACAGTGAAGGGTACTTCTCAATTTTGTCATAATGTGTGAACTGAGCTTAATGTAATGTTCTTCTAATTGATTTTTGAAAATTAGAATATTTAATAATGTCTTTTGTGGCTGTGTAAAGATCCTGAATGTCTATAAAAACAAGTTATGTGGTGGGTAAATTCCACTTATGAAAAATATATGTATTAGTAAACAACATTTATTTATTATAGCAACTCAGCATAGCCAGGTAAGGAAGATGTATTTCTGATAGATACTTACATCACTGCACACATTAGATATTTATTATGTGTCTACCTTTGAGATTTTGCAGATGCTGCTAGCCTTGAGCTTCCTCTCACCTAAGACATGTAGTATAACATGAACTGCACTAGTGCATGATTTAATCATCATGTGACAACAGCCCTCCAGCAATAGGAGAGTGACACATCCTTCATGTGCAGTAGATTCCCATAAGAGCACTTACACTTGAAATTAAAATCACTCTTAGACACCAGTAGTAGGTAGGAAGAGTGGGAAGGTGTACAGAGAAGAGACAAAGAGAAGCCAGTCATCCATGAAATAATGGAAATGAAATCTAAGACTGTGGATGAGGCAAACAAATGCCCTCATGACTTGGTTGAAGACATAAGATGGCAGAGTGATGCTGTAGGGAAGAGATCAAAACTTGTCACTTGATTCTGGTGAATGAAATGAAAAAAATTATGGGAGGAAGAAATGATCAGAATATGTAGAAAGGCATCCAAGACAGTGACCTTGGTTATCCATGGTCCAGAGGAAAAGGACCAAGAAAACCCTCCATCTTAAACTGTAAAACCACCAAAGAGTGGATAAGTGGGTCAAGATCTAAGATGGGATGCTAGTCCCCAGTCATTTTGAGGACAAGAAAGAGATAATAAAATCCTGGAGAGATGCAAAGGATCCTCAGAGGAGGTAGTTGTCACCATCACTTGAGGATTCATGGTTGATGTAGCAATTCTCTCAATCCAAATTCTTACAATCTTTTTTAGTTATTTAGTGGTGATGTAGCCTTATATCAAAATTAAAACAAACTAAAAGAAGTGAAAGAAAGGATAACAATAAAGTTAATTTCAAGTGCAAGTGCTTATGGGATCTACTGCACATGGAGGATGTGTTGCCCTCCTATTGGTGGACGACTACTGTTGCATGATAATTACATCATGTATTAGTGCAATTCATGTTATAACACGTGTTTTAGGTGGGAGATAGCTCAAGACTAGTGGCATGCACAAAATCTTAAAGGCAGATGCACAAGGAATAGCTACTGTATGCAGAGAGGTAATTATATTGTTTCAGAAATTGCTCTTTTACTATTAGTAAAGTTTCTACTTCTACTGTTAACACATCAAAGAATTTTAACAAATATTCATTACGCTATCAGTGCTCATCCTTTCTAATTTACAGAAACAGCAACAATGATTCACCTGTTCTGTACTTGAAGTTACCCTGGCTTGAGTGATTAATAGAGTAAATAAAAAATACAATATTTATATAAATCAATGTTGGAGTTGTAATTTTAAGTCTCAACTGCACTGTATCTGCACTTGAGTTAAACAGCTAGAAAAAGGGCATCTAGACATCAGCATCAGCTTCCATAAGGGCTTAGTCCAGTTTTTTGAACCAAATAACAGGAGTAATTGACTCTATTATAATGCACCCTCACCTGAATGTATGGAGAAAGTTCAAATGGCATCTCACATCTTGTCTCTTGGACCCTTCGATTCACAACTCCACATGGTAATCCTTGATAAATCTTAGCCCATAAGTTAGTAAAACAAACATAAAATTCTGTGTGAAAGAAGCAATGAATTTAACCAATCTATTCAGAAACTCTTAAAATGTGCAGCTAGAGAAAACATATTGTTGCTATGCTACAATTTATGATTTTTAACATTTGCAGATAAGGTTTTAGTTTAATGAATGTCTTTTCACAGTACACTGCAATTTCTTTATGTATGCAACTTGATACAAAAATTATTTATTAAAAATAAAATTATATTGTATATATATATTCCATGACTGCTGAATAAAAGTTCTATATATATAAATATATACAGAGGGTTGAGTGCATCATACTAAAATTATTTTGAATTTGCAAATCAGCAAGTCATGTGACATCCTCAGCCAATATAAAGTCATGATGGAATAGCATGCATCAGATATACATTCTGATACTGTTTGCCATTTGCTAGGCAATGTGATGTTACCAAATATTGATTGTTTTGGGGAAGGGTATGCAACAGCCCATTTTAATGAAAATGTAATCATATGTTCAGATCATAAAGATGTATTCAGACTGAGGATTTCGAATGACCAAGATGGGGATTTCATTGTGGTTAATGACAATGGAAAACAAAAAAGATATATCAGCTTGAGATACAAGAACCATTCAGAAAGAGACCTGCAACAAGTAATACCCCAGTCATAGAAAACAAAGTGTTGTGTCTTGTAATGGGTGAGAATCAACCAATACAAAGTTTAGTGGCAAAAACCGTTCAAGAGTACCAGACAACATTTCACCACATAACCAAAAACATAATCTCCATTTGAAGAACAACACAAATCATGTGAATGCAATTTGCTTCCACAACATATTCTTTCAATTATTGCATACCTCAAACAGCTGGAGAATGAAATGGGTATCCGTGCTATTTCATATGAAGATATCAATCAAGTCACTAGATCCAGCACCATTGGATTTCTTTTGGATTGGACCATTGAAAATAGTACTGGAAAACTGACATTCTCATACATTAGATGAATTATAGAAATTATAAAGGAGAAGTGGTGTACTTTGAACATGAAAGCCCTAAGACAGAGCATTTTGCCAACTGAAAGTATACTGCAAGACAATTGTAAAGATGTATACTGTGGCATGAAAATGCCATGACATAGACTGTAATGATGTGGTGAGACTTCAAAAGTATTTTAGTATCATGTATTCAACCTCTGTGTATGTAATCTACTAGAATATTCTAACTATATTGAAAATGTATAATCATGTCAAAGGTGAGCAATTCATAAATGAACAAGCTTTTGGGAGTGTGAAGACACTTTCCAGTCATTGAAGCACACCTTGGTCAAAGCATCAGTTTTAGTCTATCCTCATTAAGACTGTTCATTCAAGAAAGGTACAGACACTAGTGATTGTGGAATTGGTGCAGTTTTAGCACAGGATAGGGCACTACACTTGATTTATCTTGTGACACTTTCCACCTATGTCAATGTGCCCTCTATCCTGGTACTGTATATAAACATCTCATTCAAATAATGTTATTATTTTTTCGAAATTGACTCAATCTCTAACACCAGCTCTTAGTGGGAAGAAAGGGTGGGAGAGTAGGTACGTATTATTGGAAATATATTTTCGATTTAAGAAAGTGTTAACTTCTAAAATACCTTTACCTCTACTGACACTTATAGCTAGAATCCCACATTGATAAGGAGGGGCCAGTGAGGGTATTATCTACACAAAAAAACATCTGCATAGATCATGGGTGTGTCAATAGAAGATTGGCACACTACTGGGGGAACTGCACTACATCCAGAACAGGTATGCTCTTCACCCGGAATTTAATTCTTGTATTGTTGGTGGAATTTTACCTGCTTTATCAACATTATAGGCCAGGCCCCAACCAGACAGCCAAGGTTCCACTACTTGGGGTTGGAATTAAAGGGCCATGGTCCCTATATCCCACGTTGGTGGCTAGGGCAATTAGACAACAAACTATATAAATATACTTATGAGTGGATCCCAACCTATAGCCATAAAGTAATGCAATCCAAGCCACTGGAATCACAATGAGAAAGTAAGCAACACTGAGGCGGAAAACCTTCTCCTCAACTTGAAGAAGTCAAAAAGGTAACCTGAAGAAACAGTACTCATCCAGCCTGGAATTATGAACACTCATTCTCACTCCACAACCATGTGGGCAAGGTAAATTCCACTTGCCCTTAGA